TTTGCTTTGTTATCTTTTCGTATTGGCGCCAAATGGGAGAATCTATTGGTGGCTTTGCGACGTTGCCGTGCTTCACCGTTTAGATTACGATACTGGCCGTTTAGTGAGTTTTGGAGCCAGGAACTGGTACTTGGCATCTCTAGATGTATTTTATCTTATTGTTTCCGTTCAGCCAAGGTCTCTAGGTCCGGGAAGGCATTTCAATCCCTCAAAACCTCTTTGACTTCTGGGTTAAGTAAGAGGTGGGTGACTCCCGGACAAGTGGAGAAGTCAAAATATGGATGACTGGCTACACTACATGAGCATCGCTTTGTTTTTAAAATATATATATATATAAATGATCACTTTTGTTTTCCTACTGATACTACCGCCCAGCAGCAACAACAAGAGGAACTGATTAAACTGGCAAAGCCGATAGAGAAATGTTTATAACTTGAGTGCTATATACATATGGGCATTTCCAAAATCGCGCACGGAACATTCGTACGTATTCAAGTTAAAAAAAACATGTAGTTTTTATTAGCTCGTTCATTAGTACAATTATTGAAATTGTAAATTTAAATTTCTTAAGAAAAGAAAAATTTCCCAAAAGGGATTCGAACGGGAAAAACAGAGTTGGGTTTTTAAGGACGACCAATTCAATAGCAAATTTCTGCGAATCCAGCGGCTATATTTTAATGCAACTAAATTTAATCTTTTGTGGAAAGATACCTCTTATAAATGGTTATGAATGTTTAAAAAAATTACTTAAATTTTTTTTTATTAAATCCCTTTGAAGTAATTATCAAATCAAAATTGTACCGTTGTTAATAATCGCATGTTTCCTTTTGCATTTATTTAGTTACCTGAGTGATGTTGGAAATCAAAAGTCCAAAGCCTCTATCTTGTAAGTTATTATAATTTTTTTCTCAAAAATTAAGTTGGCGCTACATTGGAATCTAATATAACGATATCTGTTTAAAAAAATATTCTAGACTCGGTCAAATTTGATGAATTGTAACACTTCAAAATAAACTATACCATATTCCCAAAAATATTTTAGAGAACTTTACATTTTTTTGCCGCGGTGGACTTTTCTGTGGAAATGCTTACATACATATGTACATGTATGTATGTATGAATATGCACTAAAAAAAAGAAAATATTTTTATAGATGCTCCTGAAATTTAAAATGTAATCTTATTTATAAAGATACTCATGATATTTTGGTTCGGTTTTCGGCATTAATATAATATTAGTCATTGTTTTCATAACGTTATTTCCTCCACATTTTAAATAATTCCGGTTTAAAATAAGACGTCGATTTTCTAAAATTTAATTGTATACCATTCTATTTCAGTGAGCTATTTAAATATCTGCCCAATTTGTATCAGTGTAATTGACGTGGGGCATACTTTACACTGAGTAATGTGAATGCCGGACGGGGGAAACTGCTGAGTAACCTGGTAGTGGGGAAGGCGCGTGGCGGCCGTGCGCTAAACTACGCTCCTTGCTCCTGTACCTCTGGCGACTGGGACTGGGACTGCGACTGATTTACCCACTTCTAAGCTCGGTCGGTCGGATTTGTAATCGTAACACTTTCACGCCCTGCCGCCAAAAGGAACTATAAAGCCAGACAGTCCGCATCAGACCATGGGCGCGGGGTAGTGGGAAGTTTGGACCACCCCCCAGGTCTGTGGGCCAGACGCAGTTGCTCCTCCTGCCCTGCCCACCACTCGCCCTCTCCCAAAAGAGCGGAGCATGCCAGGCTCTCCTGCTTCCCTCTCGCACTTTGCTGAAACAAAACTTTAGCTGCAAAGGCACGCGACGCCGAAGCCGCAGTCGGCAGCGACGGCAGCGGAACTCATGTGAGCAGCGCGGCGCGACAAGCATGCATACATAGAGCTACGAATACGCAGCGCACACAGATACTGCTCACGGTGCACAGATGTAGATACAGCACACGAGCCTCCACCGCCAAATGACTTTTTGCGAACTTTTTGCCGACACTTTTGTTTGCTTTGCCTTGCTTGTCCCTCTCTTTCGCTCCTTCCTTCTCTCGCGCCATTCCTCTCTGTCAGTCCCACACGTATACGCATACGCACACATGCATCTTAAGCAGCGCTCTCGCAGCACTTGTCTCTCTCGTTTGGAGACTGTGCTGGGGGCTGGCCAGAGGAACGGGGTTAGCGTCGTCTTTTGTGCCCGCTTCGTTTCATTTTCGCTTCGTTTTTGTTGTCTGAGCGCGAGTGTCCGTAAAAAGCTTTGTGCGCCAACCGTACTGCCCGCCCCTACCGCCCGCCCACCGTCACCCAAACCCCACACGCCCCGCATTCACCGAAGGCTTTTTCGATTTCTTTTCGACTCTCTCAGCTCCCAACTCTCGCGGGTGCTGCTGGTCTGCGACGCCAACGTCGACGCCGGCCGCGACTGCGGTCGTCGCGCTTCCATGGGGTTCTTGAGCGTATGCAAAAGATTTTTGCACATATTCATCTTTTTGGCCGTTTTCGGTGCGTTTCGCGGAGCTCGATGGCTCTTAGCGTGCCCGCGCGAATTTCCATTATTTTCCGCGCCCAAAGAAAAGAATGCTAGGATTCTTCCTAGCTGCGGTTCCGTCCAGTGTCTTGCCTTTGTGCCTGGCCCGCTCTACCGCCGGTTTCTTCTCCTACTTCTCGAACTAGAAGATGTGTCTGTGCAGGGTATCCGTAGCTGCAGTGTGTGTCTCGCGGGGAATACGATTCGGGAGTGGCACTAGGAGCCTTGGGGTCTTGAGAGGATCGATCGGACCCCATGAGGAAGTCTAGGACGATTTGATAGATAGACTTTCTATCTCGTCAGTTGCCCATCCCGAAAGCAGAGCTATTGTACATACATATCTGGCTGCATCAACGGATATCGACTCTCCCCGATGCGGTTCAGCAGTTCTCACAAAACACAAACTATTTGCCACTTTTGCACTCCGCGTTCGGCGGGCGGAAGTTGGTGATGCCGGCGGTTAATACCCATAGTTCCCGTAGTGCTCTAATACAAAACTGCAGCTTGTGTGTGTGTGTGTGTGAGGTGTTGCGTAGTTTATGCAATTTACTTTATGAATTCGCAGATTCATGAAGTCAGAATGACCTCTTGGTTCTCGAAAATATACACTTTTCCTTGGTGATTGTACATAATTCTACACATAAAACCATAGCACTAAAGTCTACACTTAAAAAAAAAACAATGTCACAAACGTTTTTGAAAAAATCAACCTCTTTGATAATTCATTTGTAGAAGCTTGGAAGAAATGTACAAAAATATTCCCGAGATTAGTGAAAAGAAACTCAAACGCCAACATCAAAGTAAACAAACTCCAATAAGCTAAGTGCGGTGATTTGTGATCTGAAATGTGAACACAAGAGCCAATGAAATTAGGCAAAATGCATTTAATTTTTGATAATAACTTATATACATGAATACCTGAAATCTAACTCAACCCGTGTGTGTGTGATACCGAGGAATATGATAGTAGTAGTTGCCCCAAAGTGAAATTGGTTGTGCCTCGCCCGTTTATAAATACACGAATGCACATGAGATAATTGCAGAAATTTGGCCAACGCATAAACGGAGTATAAGTAGCCTGTCGTTATCCGTAAATCTGCCCGGCACGAAGTGCAGTCACCGTCGGCTAACTTTTATTTTGTGCAGCGTTTTCGTTGTTCTCTGCATTAGATCACATCGCAGTTTGATTGTCTGTTTTGCTTAGTTGTTGTTTGGTTTCGGCTTTCGCTTTGTTAGTTGCGCCACCCACTCCCACCCCTTGATTTCATCAACTGGCGGCGCTTTGAACTTGAAATGTTGTTGTTCGCCTAGTTCTCTGCTATTTTCCGTTTCCCACTTCCCACTTGCCATCCTCCCACTCTCTCCCGAGACGACTCTGGTTCGCGCCACGCTCTCTCTGCGCTCTCTTTGCCGCTTAGACAATGCGTGCCTCTACACAAAACACGCGTGTCTAGGTTTAGGAAATGGGGATGGGGGTTGGGGGAGTATTATTTGCAACGGTGTCTGTGTGTGCGCCTGTAAAGTTTATTTTGGCAACAGGAACCGCGGCAAGGCTACGGCGAAAGGCGAGGGACAGGAACGGGAACGGGAGCCCAGGCCAAAAGCCCGACACTGCACTTTCTTTGCGATATAAATATGCATCTATTTATATGACTTTTTTTTCTAATATGTTAGCAGCAGTTTTCAGATACAAAACATATGTATGTATATTCAAATGTGCATATGTATGTATCCATCAATTGATAAATTAATCAAGTTGAAATTGTTTTATAGAATCAGGATATGTCAATTCCCAATTTTAGGATTTTTAAACAGACTTTAACTTATAGATACATACGTACGTACTTCTGAAATCTGCTGGCATCATATACCATACTCACTAATTATGCACGTGGAAATCTAAATGGATTTGTTATTCTCTTTCACAGGTGCTTTTTGACTGTTTGGAACATTTTTAAACATTACGTTAAAACGTTGTTGATACTTACTGAAATATTGTTTTGTTAAATCAAATCATAATATAATCACTATAATACGAGTATAATACCAACGAACGGGGAACCCAGAGCCCATATTATAATACAAATGTAATAATAATAATAAGCGACAACGATAAAAACTTAAGTGCAATCATTTCAATTTTGATTTAAATCTTCTTATTAATAAATAATTCAATGATTTCCATATAATTTCGAAAAACAATTCAACGACAAACAAATTTATATAACATCAATTACCACAACAACAACAACAACAACAGGAAATAGTACAACAAATTAAAATTAACTTTCAGTTGTATGGAAAAAACAAAAAGTGATTTTTAGTTAGTTTCTCAAAATTTAACAACCAAAATTCACAACAAAATTTGGAATACAATAACTACAAAAAACAGCAACAACAACAACAACTACAAACAACATAAATAACAGCAACAATTCCAACCACTGCAACAAACAACCAACCGATAACAACAAAACCAGAAAAACAACAAAATAAAATAAACAAATAAATAATATAAGAGAAAATAATAAGAACAACAATCGTAACCATAATAGAGAGCCTAATTAATAAAATAAACCGATAACAAATCAAAGCGCAACAAGAAAACAAATAATAAAACCCAACTGAAAACAGGCCAGCAAAATAAATCAAAGCAACCAAACGAAAATAGCAACACAAAATAGAAACAGGATACAGCAACTGAAATCAATAAAACATAAATCAGCAACAGAAGCCAGAACCCAGAACCCAGAAACCAGAAACCACAAGCCGAATCGATACAGCATCAAACCCAGAATCGGAAATAGCCTAACCATCAGACCCCAATAGCAGAAAACAAAGGATATAACTGAAATCAGAAGCCCATAACAGGATAACAAATAGAAAATAGAGAAACAGTAACAGGAACAGAAACAGCTATAGAAAATACAACAGCAGAAGTGAAAACTGAAATTCAACAGCAAATTCCAAGTAACAAAAAGAGAAAAACAAAAACGGAAATAGCCAAGATTTGTTAAATTTCTTTCGTGTGTTTTTAAATGGAGAAAAGCAACAAAAAATACCAAATCTAACGGAAATAAATAACGAGCAACAGAAAGTATTTGTCGTTAAAAAATTGAACTCTTCGGTTGAGGTTTACATTTTCGTCTTAGTCATTAAATTTTGCGTTCGTAAAAAGCGGTCGAGAAAATGTTCTGAAAAAGTCTTTGAGAGAAACGAGCTGAGAAACAGTTTATAAACTTTAAGAGGTGAAAAAATTGAAATAAAGAAGGAAGCGGCAATAAACATTTCGCCAGTGAAGGGAAGCGAACTGTGCCAAAGTTGCGCAACCACAGGTGTATTTTGTGTGTGGCACGTGTCACGTGTGTGTGCGTGCATGCAGCTGGAGTTTTCCCGTGGTGCGGACAGATCGGATTCAAGAAAATCACTATATCAATATATATCCATATAAAAATTATCTTCAAATTATCATATCGTGGAAAAGCAAAAAAAATGATCTAAAACGCATGTTAAAACCGTTATCAAACGCATTTCGTACTTAAAAACAGAAAACAAAAAACAAAACAAAAAAACAAAAACTAAACTAACATTAGTAGTGAAAAAATTCCATTCGGATAAGAAACACGTTCTAAGCTAAAAATTTAATTATATTACCATTAACACGTAACTCAAGTATTCGAGGATCTTAAAAGTATAAAGGGGTCACAGTCACAGGAAGAAGGCGTTATCTGGCATATGGCAACATTCCCCACACACCCATTAGTATCGTGGAAAGCGAGCAAAATCCTCTGACTGAGTAATCCTTGCGTATCAATTCGGTGAGTACAGATCTTGGATACCATTTACCTAAGAATGTCCCTCCCACTTCTGTTTATCTCCCGTGCAATGAAACTAATTCATTAATCGATTACATTTTACCCAGTATTACTCTATACTACAGAGTATCTGCTATTGCAAAAGTTGGAGCCTAGAACTAGTATCCTTTAAGTGCAGATCATACGAGGACAAGCGCACGCGTCATATATGCAATGGGCCTCATTTTAATGCCGGCCATTTACCATGTGTGGGTGCCCGTGTATACCGCTCACATGAAAACACACATGTGCGTAAAAGTCCCCTATATGTGCCCACGTTAAGCCCATTGTACATGAGTCCATATACTCGTACACTCATCTACATGCAAATTTCATTTACGCGCAAAAAATTAATTATTGAAAAAATGCGCCTCGAACACCAAAAGACCACGCGAAACAACTCCCAGCCTCGTCCCTGGCTGGACGTTAAAGTACTGGTGGTGGGCGGTGGGAGGGAGAGTGGGGTGCTTGCGTCGGTGGGCGAAACCAAAGGATGAGCGACCGCATCAGCAGCAGCAACAGCAGCAGGAAAAACGAACCATTACACATATTTTAAATGAATTGAAATGAAATTCGTATATAAAAACTGTGACGCCAGTGTGTGTGTGTGTGGACGTCGAAGTACAGTTGACTCCACACGTTTTTTAACGGAAAATGGCAGGCTGGCAGTAGTCACAGCGACCGCGGCAGAGGCAGCGAAGGGATTGGATGGGGGGCGAGAGTGGGAGCCTGCGAAAGGGGTTGTCTGACCGAATGGTCAGTTGCCGAGCGCCGTTCACACGAATGCGAGCGATAAGGATAGCACGCGTCTGCCAATCCCAACCCCAACCCCAACTCCAGCCCCAACCCTGGCCCGAACTCCGCCCTTCTCCGGCCAGCAAGTAGCTGCAATTTTAATGCGTTGAAGCTGGCGATGGGTGGTCGCCCAAGAGCGCCATTATATGTATTCGCTCTCCGTGCATCTGGATCTGCATTAGTGGCAGGACCACGTACGTGGGGGCGATGTCATTAATGACAAGTTTAATTGACATTCGTCGAGCTGTTTTATTTTATTTTTCGCAAACTGCTGCGCCTGCACTTGGCAACAGTGGAAGTTGCAGTCCAGCCCAAATTCAACCCACCAAGCAGCCCACCCACCGAACCCGCAGAACCACAGGGAAATTGCATTTTTCGGTTGCATTCTTCTCCATGTCATTTCGCTTCATTTTATTGCAGTGGCTGCGAAAATTGTTCCGTCTCTGCGAATTTTTTCGCCATGTCATTGAATGTAGTTTCTGGAGTACACAGAGCAAACGTGACATATCATTACCGGGGGGAGCGATGGGTCGGGGATAGTTTATGTCTATAACATCATAATCATTTGTAGCTTTTTGAGCTGCAGAAGGTTTCTTCTGCCGCTTGCAACGAGGTGGCTCTATGCTAAGCTCTGGCCCCATTTCCACTAATTATACCTTGCCATATCTAAAGCTCTATTCATTGCTTAACATGGGAACACCCTCCAGCTGAAGCGAGTGAATGTTGTGAATAGCAGCAACCAGAACGGCAATCACAGGGGTGAATTCACAGGGGTTCGAGAATGGAGAGGAAAGGCAAAGGGTCGTCAGCTAGATCGGCTGGCGCCAAGCAATCCTTATGGGCGACATCCTTTGGCCTTGGAAAGGTAGAAGAGCGGTACCAAGAGTAAATGCCAGAAAGGGAGGGGATTAGTACGTGTATTCGTGACAACTAGGCCGGAAGTCGGGTGACATCCCAGCCTCTCATCCAATTAAGTGTTCCAATATGAAAGCCTTTGCAAAGGCTAGTTTGCATATGTATTTTTGCGTACATATGTACATATATATGTCGCCGCATTCCCGAGTTGCCGTTGAACTAGTCAAAGTCTATAAAGTAAGTTCAAAAACATCTTGGGTATATTTAAAATTAGGCCTAGTTAAAAATACCCCTTTTTAACGCTTGTTTACCCTAGTAAGTAAGGAGAATAGCCATTGAATAGTAGAGCACGAACGGAGAACTAACTTATTATATGCGCGCTAGATGTTTCCCTTCGAGACCGATTCCATTTGAGGAGATGATATACATCAACAGTTTTCGGTCCCATTAAAAAACAAGAAAGGAAGCTAACTTCGGCATGCCGAAGTTTGTATACCCTTGCAGATAGGTTTTGATGTTTATATTATTGATTATTTCAGAATTTCGATTTTAATTTTATGAAAATCGGACAACATATAGCTGCTATAGAAGCGACCGGTAAATGTATACAATATGTAAAGCTGGGAATGTAAAACTTAACTGCCAAACTGTAAACATAATAAGTACAGGTAAAATGTAATGGAACTCTGTTTTGTGTGTGTTTTCAGCATTTAAATTTATAATATAAATATCAAAACCAAATTATTATATGCTATGTATAAAAATACAACTTTTATATGTTTCCTTTTATTTTGTTCTATTAATTTGACCAGAATGGATCGATTCTTAATGATCCAATTGCAAACTGCAAGAGATTAGAAACTTCGGCGTGCCGCAGTTAGCTTCCTTTCTTGTTTTGTTTTCTTTTGATTTTAAATACTCTTTAATTTGAGATTTAAACTGAATTGGGATTCTAATTGTCTTATAACCATGTGGCAGATTGTTCCGCAACGTATGGCATTAATGAAAAATTGTTCAAGTCGTTTTAAATTAATGACATAGCTGCCAATTGAGTTTAAGTCTACTACTAGCTTGAGCATATTCTGCGTGTCACAGTGTCCAAATACTGCTCCCCATAAACATTGACGGAATTAGGATGACCTTAGCTACTAAGAGCCTTATTTGAACGGGAAGAAAAGGCTTGGAATTATTACGCGGCATACGGGGCGTATGCGTTATATTTTCATACGCCCTGTGTTTCAGCCAGCCACTTGTCTTCCTCTAAGGCCAGGCGCACACTGGCAGCTGAAAGCGGAGCTGACGGCTGACGGCTTATCAGCTCTCTGAAACAAACACACTACTTGTATGAGAGCGCGCACACCGAGAGCGGAGCTGAGCTGAAAAATTTGCACTGAAATTATCAGCTCGCTTATCAGCTCCGCTCTCAGCTCCGCTTTCCGCTCGCAGTGTGCGCCTGGCCTAAAGGTTGAGTTAAGAATGGGTTTGCTTGAGGGAATTGCTAGGTAAGGACCACTAAAAGTTTCGTTTGAAAGTTCGCTGTATTAATATGTTTATTAAGCTACCCCGTAAGGTTAGACTGATTTTGCAGATAGGCTTTCGGTCCTAGAAAAAAGTGCAATCACCAATGGTGCTATCAAAATGTTTTATACAAATAAACTGTTGCAGGATTTAACGTACCATTGGAGCAAATGGGCACAAATACTCCTGTGCAGCGGACGAAAACTTGCATTTACATTTAGCATTTGAGCAGCCACTATGAATGCTGGCTCAAGTACACTTTTTGTTCGACCAGCTCCAGGAAAATAGAAACAATGCGAAATACTCGTTTTTATAGGCATTGCCGAGGAACAATGTACACACAATAAGGTGGCCACTAACCTGCCTCAGAGCCCGCTGACGGCTAGAGCCAAGGGGTGGCGGGGTCTCGGGTCGTTTCGGGGGCGTTGGCAACGCAACTATAAAATTTCAAAACTGCAACTGCATTTAACTGCAATGGAAACTTTGTAAGCAGCCAATTCCATGCTCATGGCTCATTCCCTGCATTATTGCCACAAAATTTGGCTGAGTTGATTTACGGTCTGTTGTTGATGAAGCCCAAGTTTAGCAATTCGGTTCTGAGCCGATAATTGGGAAACGCCTAGAACGGCTAGAACGGGAACAAGGGAGACTCTCACCCGCATTCGGTGGTGGTTCCGTTTCTCAGAAATTTACTGTTTTAAATACCATTTGTTGTCTGGCTGCTGTCTGCCAAAACTTTTTGCCCATAAAAGACGTGCCTTCCACCGAGTTGTGGCGAATTGAACGAAGAGACGCCTTCAATGGCGTATCTTATAGTTTTCACTTTCAAGCCAGGCAAACAAGGCGGAAAATGGGATAAAGTTTATTTAGCCGGACTGAAGAGGCGGGAAACGGAAGTGAGCAGAAAAGAGAAACAAATAAAATGGAAAATACAAATCCGTGCGAATAATGGAGGTCCACAAGTCGGGCTTAAATTTGAATTTGACACACTCCCCAAAGGGCCCCTAAAAAAGTTGCTAGACGGACGTACAAGGCGCCCTGCTTCAGCCACTTCAGGCTGGAAAACTATGTCAAAACTCATTTAGTTCCCGAGGAAATGTTTGGCACAACATCTAAAAGTGTTTCCGGTGGCGGGGCGGGAGTAGCTGTGCGGAGGCGAATGGCGAATGGCGGCTGGCAGAGAGCGGAGTGATGGCCGATGTCTGTCAGTTACTTATGGTCGGTGAAAAGGTGTGCGACCCTTGGTCCCAACTAATCCTATTACTTACATAAATTCCATTAAACGAAGAGACCCGTAAGTGGAGAAGGAGGAGCGGAAAGAAGCAGCTTTGCAGAGCAGACGAGGTGGGGGCCAGCGGTGAGCGGCTTTTCCTGGGTGCGTGCGGATTTTCACACTTTACGCATGGCTTGATCGGCGGGGGACAGCGAAACAAGAGTTGCCTGTGGGCGGGCTAGAATTACGCACAAGTTTACTGCTTACACCTGCCATCCGTGCTATAATTCATGCGGCTTTTAAGCTGTTGGCCATTTGCTTTACCGCCAGATCTCAGCATATTTTTCTAAATTGCATTTTTGCAGTCATTTAAGGTAATTGCATTAGACTCGTTTGACATGCTGCATTAGTTCGCGGAGGGAGAGCTTTCCGGTGGCAGACTGAAGCAGAGAAGCAGATTCAGAGGCGCGAGAGAGAAGCCTTTCCATATATTGTCTATGCATACATACTTATATAGAAAATCATCGAAAGTTCTGTCCTTATCGACAGTAACTTCCCTTATCAGGCAAGCCGGCATATAAAT